GACTGCTGCTTCTCTCCGACTTCTTACTGCCGATAAACTGTCAATGCGGGCGCCTTTGCCAACCAAAGCACCGTTACCATTCTTACATTCGGCCATCCTGATCATTCATCTGTCCCAGATGACCAGCCACATTCGTTGTCGACCACATATCTCCATAATTTTATACAATCACAGCTTGTTGATGTGTTTGTTGGGCCTTCCGCACCTGCTGTCTTCCGGACATCGTATCTTCCATTTCGCTTGACCTTTGTGATCTCATATGGTCCTATATATTCGCTTGCCAGCTTCTTCCCAGCCACAAACTGGGTACGTCGTATGGCTACTAGGTCCCCGACTTTGTATACTTGCTCAATTTTGCGCTTCGTGTCATATTATTTTTTATATGCGTCCTGAGCCCGCTGAATATTCATTTTCGCATTTTGCCGCATTAACTGTCGCTCAGCATCGAAAGCATCGTACATCTCCATCTCAAGTAAGTTTGATACATGCTGACTGGGGATGTTATTCATTTTTACTCCGAACATGAGCTCAAATGGCGACCTCTTTGTCGAAGCGTGGACGTGAGAGTTAATGGCCTTCTGCACGCTTGGTACAAACTTATACCATTTAGACGGCTCCTCGGATGACAGCTTTGAAACGACGGATAATATAGACCGATTTACACGCTCAACTTGACCGTTCCCTCTTGGCACTCCTGTTGTGCTCCATACGTGTTCAATACTATTTTCTTTAACGTACTGCTCAAAAATGTTCGACGTAAACGCACTGCCACGATCAGTAATAATTCGACAGGGATTCCCAAACATGCCAACCCAAAGCTCCAATCTTTTTAAAGTTTCCTCGGCATTGGTTGTCTTTGTGGGAAAAAGACCAACGAATTTGGAAAATGCATCCACAACGGCGAAAATATATTTGTACTGCTTGCAAGTGGCGTCCATAGGACCCAAGTGATCTGCATGAAGAGTTTGAAGCGGCTTATCCCCTTTATCGATGCAGCTCAAGTAACCTTCTTTTTTGCCAAGCTTTTTATTATAAATGATGCATTTAATACAGTTGCTGATGACGTGGTTTACTTTTTGCTCCAAGTGTGGTATCCAGTAGGTCTGCTGTACGGCGTGCATAGTTTTTTGTACTGCGAAATGACCGGCGTTGTGAGCTTCCGTAAACAACAACAGACAATTATATATAAATTATGTGTGCAAAGTTTGGTTTAGGTAGCATTTGAAATGTGGACGCTATTGACGAAATTCTGTAGCGGGGGAAGGGGGGGGAAATTAAAAAAAAAAAAAATAAACTCGTCCTTACTCGGACCTAGGAGAATCTGGATGCCAACTTTGGTTATTCTAGCTTTTATAGTTTCTGAGATCCTCGCGTTCATCCAGACGGACAGACGGACGGACAGACGGACAGACGGACGGACATGTCTAGATCGATTTCTCTCGTCATGCTGATCAAGAATATATATACTTTATGGGGTCGGAGATGCTTCCTTCTGTATGTTACATACTTTGCACAAACCTAATATACCCTGTTTACCCTACGGGTACAGGGTATAAAAATTGCGGAGTGCGAGAAAACCCAATACTGAATTGATCGCAAACATTTGGTGGTGGTTTTTACTCTCACAAGTTTCTTTGCAATCACCAACCGCATAAGTACAAAAATGAGTGAAGAGGATAGCGAAGTCTTGTTGTGATTGCGTTGATCTAAGTATAAGAAGGCCATGAGTATAATCAACACTTTTTTATGCGGTGTTTTGTGTGATCGTGAGTGAAATATTCTAAGTAGGTATGCGGTGTACTTATTGTTGCGGTGCATGTATGTATTTATGTACATATGTGTACAGTGAACAATCGAATACAGTATTATAATCAATAACTCTCAAACGATGTTTTTCGATGTATTTGTATTCGACATGTATTACGATATATCAACACAAGTGCGATATTTTCGATATACCGCATTTAAATTTATTATTGGGGTTTTAATATTTATTCACTTTTTCAAATGAATAGTTTGTGTTATAAATTTTGTCCGATCGATTTCAAATTTGGGTAATGTAATCAACATAACTATATCAACAAATTGGCATTCAACGATTAAAATATAGCAATATGTTTTTTACTTGCCATATATCAAATATCAAATAGTTGGGGACATCACATACACACACTGACACATGCATACAACAAGCAACAGTTCGTGTCTATGTGTGCCCATGCATACATACTTATGTACATGCATATGTACAGTTGTGCTCAAAATAATCGTAGTGATATTTTTCACTACGTTCTACCGTTCGTATTTTTGTGTTTCCTTTCATTTTTAATCCTTTTCTTCTACCTATGTGATCTACAACAAGAGCACAATAAAATGACGCTTTACTTTAGCTTTTTGTGCACTTGTTGTTGTTGTTATTTTCATTTTCCACAGCTAGTCCCTATTCTACGCGCTCAAAATAATAGTAGTGCTTGCACAAACATTCCAAAAATATTAAGTGTGTCGCTCCTTAAGCTCACGAAAAGTAGCTAATAGTAAGTTCTATTATTTTTTAATAGTTTACAATAGTTTCCAATACACATTTTAGTTTGTTTTTTTTCTGATATGGGTAGAGCCAAGCACTGCACTCCTGAACGACGTGCACTCATTCAAAAATTGATATCTGAGGGAAAAACTTACAATGAAGTCCAAAATATAGTAGGTTGTCCTCCTACAACGGTGTGTAATGGTATAAAATTTATCCCAAGCCCCTAAGCACGTGGAAGACCTCGCTCTATGTCAGATAAATTGGCGACCCTTGTAGTGAGATACTTTAGGCAGAACCCATTTGCGAGCTCTACCGATATAATAGATGAATTAAATCTCCATACAAGTACACAAATAATACGGAGATGCCTACTGCAAAATAATATGGCAGCTCGGAGTCCAAGGAAAGTGCCCCTTCTCATAAAAAAACATCTGGCAAGACGAATTAAATTTGCACAAGACCACATTGATTGGCTAGTGCAGTAATGGAGAAACATTTTGTGGTCAGATGTTAGGCGGCCACCAAACACTGAATGGCACCCTCGATTCACCACGAAAACCGTAAAACACGGAGGAGCTCGTATTATGATATGAGCCAGTTTTTCATATTACGGCACGGGGCCTTATATTGGCTCCGGAATGTCATGGATCGCCACCTTTATGTGCATATAATGCAGAATATTATGCTGCCATATGCCATTGATGAAATGCCACTGACTTGGGTATTCCAGCGGGATAATGATCCGAAGCACACAAATAATGTTGCCAAACAATGGTTTCAAACTAACAGTCTCCAGATCTCAACCCGATTGAGAATTTATGGTACGATGTAAAGAAGGAAGTTGCCAAGAGTAAACCAACTAATTTTGAATAGGTTTGGGGACCAGCTAGACATGCTTGGAGCTCCATTCCTTCTCAAAGATGTCACAATCCCGTGGACTCCATGCCAAAGCGATGTGCTGCAGTTCTTGCACACGAAGGCTATGCTACAAAATACTAATATTATTTAGAAAGTCCTAATATGAGTAATTAAAATAATAACCGTATTATTTGGATCAGTTGGGACAAGTAAGAGGCCAACAAATGAAACACTACTATTATTTTGAGCGACCAAATTAATGAAGTTTTGGAAAAATAATTATTTAAATTGTTATATGACCAGAATTTGTTATTATTTCTTTATAATTTACTTGTTAATATACTATACTTAACAATACAAATTATTTTAAGTTCATTAAATCACCATTTCATACATTTTTTGAACGAACTAAATTTTTATGAAAGCACTACTATTATTTTGAGCACAGCTGTATGTATGCCTGTATATGTATGTAGCATGTACATACAAAACAACAACAACTGCAAGTCAATGTCTCGCTCTTCTTCTTTCGTTGTGACCATTTAATGTTAATTGCAAAGGCAAAACGCCAAAAGTTTACAGTTACCGTCGCTAGGCAACGACTGCGTAAGCGATAGTAAAGCAGAAACCGAATAACGGAGCTACGTATATTCTGCTTCGCATTGCGGGCAGATGTATGTATGTATATGATTTGTTCTTATTGAAGTCAATAAATAATTAGATTAGGTTATTAAAATATTTTGCTTATTGCATTCAAACTTCGATATGTTGATGGTATCGGTGGCTTCAACTATCGAAAGTTTTACTCTAGCAAATTGAGATGAGAATTGTCAGTGCTTTTTGATTGGCTCATCGCTGCACGGCATTGACACGAGTGCCGTGTTTCATATTCCGACTTTGTGCGTGACCGTATTGACTCAATATGGCACGAAAAGACTCAAATGTGAATTTAAAATTAGGATATACCCTTATAATTATTCCCCCTTTTTTGCAAATCGTCTATCTTAAAACGTTGCGTTATCTCTATATATAAAAGAGTTTGTCCTGACTAATTGGTGATCAACGCACAGCCCAAACGGTAAAATATGAAATTTGGACTCAAGTATCCTTTCATAGTATCCATCATAGTGTAGGAGCACACTAAGAAAGGCTTTTGGAAAATTCTAGCTCCAAAGGGGGGAAAACGAGCTTTAAAAAATATTAGTTATAGAGGTCATGTTCGTTTGGTCATGTGGTCATGTTTGTTAGTTTGGCAAGAACAAAAATGTAACGGACTACTGAACAATTTTTTGTCAAGAACAGAAAATGTTCATTTAAATACCTTAAATGCCTTCCTACTGGTAACTCATAAGGTGAAAACATATGGGTAGGTTATGCACACACAAAATAAATACAATTGGAAACATTATATTGAGCTGGGTTAAGACGGGCAATACCTGCTAGTAACTTATATACACTTTCGGATAAGCTACAATTTCTTCGGGGTTTTGAATAAATTCGTTCAAATGTGGTACACATTGTTACCCATTGGCCTACAGGGTATGGGCCGATTAAATATATTAAGTCTGATTTATAATCATAAAATTAACTAAATAGACATCATCACAGTGCTCACCTGCACAAACTTTGATAATTTCTTATGCAAGACGTATGACCTTTGTTTCATTACTGTAATATCCTTTTTACTTGAATCCTTATGTTGGCCATTCTTAATCGGATTGGCATACAAGTTGGCAAATTCTTTTTCAGTTCCCAAGTACAACGGTTTAATAAAATTAACCATGCTATAATCTGGAAAGTAATAAGAACTGTGTGATTAAAAGTGTTTGTGCACTCCTCCTTAACTGCTTACATTCTTTAAGGTTATTTTGAATAGGAGTTCCAGTTAAAATAATGCGCTTTGGGGTAACAATTTTTGCTACAGCGAGACTTATTGCAGATTTACTGTTTTTTATGATATGTCCTTCATCACAAACAACGAGATCAGCACCTTCTCGAAAAATAGTTAATGGTTCTGTTATGGGCAGGAATCACTTACTTACCTGGTTGCAAAAGATGTTTGTTTACTTTTTCTCGAATATTTTCTAGCGTGGCAGGGCAAAGGTTCCCTCTGTTTTTGTAAGAGTGATAACAGACCAGCGTTCGGAAAGCTTCATAGCCCACCAGCAAGCATCCCGCTTTGTTTGTCGAAGACAATGACCATTCTTCTAAAACCCGTAGTTTATCTGAAATGTCACTTAAATAAAATAAGTAATGTTTGATTATTAAGGTGATTTTGATAATTTAATAATTCCCTTTAATTGACAATGAACGGAAGTTGTTATACATTCTGATTCTTGCATGTATTTATACACCTCCATGTGTATGTATATTTATTTTTTAATTTTTGTTCCTCGAGTCGTGGACTTTCTCTAACATCAATACAATTAGTAGGCACTAAACTCTAAAAAGGAATGTATCGTCTTCAAAATTGGCACATATAATATTGATGTTATTAGAAATTAATAGAAAACAAGTAAAAAAAAAAAGCTAGTCGGGTGTACTGACTTTGAAATACTCTGTACATATGTTTACAATAATTATAGAAAATAAAAAAATGAAGAAAATTAAAGAAAACAAGAAAGGAATGCCAAAGTCGAGCAAGATCAACTCTTAAATACCCTGTACCTCCCCACGAAAAACGAAATTAAATTAATTAATTAATTTAATTAATGTGTTCCATGTACACTCGCACAAAACTAATATACCCTTTGGGTACAGGGTATAAAAATTTGGACCGATTTTGGGCAGCGCTGGATCAGCAAATATATTTATGGCTATAACTTCTTGTTAAATCGGTCTATCAAAGTGAAACTTGGCATACGGACACATAATGACTAACTGGGGGTATTTCCCAAATTTGAGTTCGAAATTCCAAGAAATTCCGGGAGTTACGATTTGCGTGGGAGAGGGGGGAGTGGGGGAGGGAGGAAAATTCCGAAATACACATTTTCTGCATATTCATATAAGGCATCTGAGACTAAAATTTGGTGTCTCTAGGTCTTATAGTATATAGGCGATTATACGAATGGGAAATCGGGAAAACCCCCATAGGGGTGAAGTGGGGGGGGGGGGGGGGGGGGGGGGGGGTAATAAAACAAACTCGTATAGCGTACACACATAAGGCATTTTTGTGCAAAATTTCTTTCTCTTATAGTCTCTCATATCCAGGGGTTCATACCGACGGACGCCACGCCTCCTTCTGCCTGTTACCTCCCGCAAATCTATCATACTCGTGTACATTTCATTGTACAGGATGTTGTCAATTACTATTATTTACTTTACTTATAATTTATTTCAAATCGAAAGAGCGAAAAAAATGTCACTCCAGTACGAAGCCCACAAACTGCAGCATTAACTAAGCTGTCCTTCTTTTTTATTGCTTCTGCTATGGGCGCATATAACTTAATGTCAGGAGTTTGTTTGGGTACAGGGTATTTCACTGTCGGGCTTGCTCGACTTCATACAATCAAGACTCAAAATGACCACAAATTTCAACAGTCATGTTAGAAGCATGCCAATTCGAGTGTTTTTATTAAATTTTTCTAGAGTTTGATTATAACTTGGCATGTACTTTTTAATATAACTTGCGAAGGTTTATACTTTTTCCGATATCAACATAATATTATATTCTTTTACGATTTTTACATAAATTTTATGCAATAAATACTGCTTAAATGCGTCTTCTGAGGCTTTGTTGCTGCCCCGAATGCCAACAATTTCTGCGTGCCAAAACACGAGTTTTGCGGCAATAATCACGATTTTTTCGAAAAGCGTCAAAAACGGGCAAATGGTGTTATTTTGAGATGAAGAACAACATTCATAAGTACAAGCTGTCGTAGTTAGTTGTTGTCAGCAGTTGTCATTTCGTTTTTTATACTCCAAAAAAGATAGGGGACGTATGTTAATTTTCTACGAACAACTACATAAATTGGACATTACACATAAATCCAAGCCTTCGACTACACATAAAAGTCCTATATACAGTAAAAACTACATATTTTGGTCTTTATTGATTGTTGATATTAGAAACTGACAACGAGCTACGCTGAATTTGTAAAAATCAGACTTGTACCCAGAGTTTTTAAAACGCCTATATAACCAGGACCTAACATTTTTAAAATTAGACACGACGCGATGTCCGCGATGTCAAATAGGAACGCAAGCGTCAAGCGCACCGGTTGGAGCGCGGCTTCGGCCCACTGTTTGCTGTCTGATTAGGTAATAGGTAAAATAAAATAAAACTATCCAGTTTTTGCAAATCCTCCAGTGCAGACTCCTTGGTGCCAGCGCCGATCTCTGACTCCTGTACGATCACTTCTCAATTCTACACTCGTGTTCATAAAAAAAAGCCGAGGGTAATTTAGCTAGTATTTTTGTTGTTCTTTTGAAGAACCGTTATATAACGATACTTTTTAAGTTTGTTTTTTGTTTAATGGCATTCAAGTGCAAAAATTCCCTCAATTTGAAGATAATTAGAAGATGTAGCAAAAACGATGGTTTTAACAGAAATACAAAAAATGTATATTATTAGTTTTAAATAATAAACTTATTAAAATATGTTAGATATGAGCAAATGTGTAAAGAATCATCTGTAGGGAGATTTTAGGTAAAATATTAAAAAACCGAGAGTTTAGGGCGCCAGACTGGCAGCGGACGTTCAAGTATAATGGGCGTCAGGACAGGAATTTAGTCCGAATATCTCTGCGCAACCGTTTTATAACTCATGCAGAAATTACTGCAAAATAAAATGATGCCAGTCATTTGAAAGTAAGCAGCTCAAATGTCAAATGGCGAATAAAGAAAAATAATTTGAGCGCAATACGAGCTGCAAAAAAACCCTTCCTTTGAGCAAAATTCGTTCCTACAGACTAAATTGGTGCAAAAACTTGTAGAGGAAAAATTGGTCAGCTGATGGTTGGGCTAATATGATATTCTCTGACGAAAGCAAAACCAACTTAATTGAGCCAGATTCGAGAGTCATGGTTTATCGTAGAGTCAATGAAAGATTCAGTGATCAATGCGTGCAAAGTTTTGTACTGCATTCCCCATACATTATGGGCAATATAAACTCGTGATGTTGGAGAACTTGTATTGCTGGAAGGTACTATCAACTCTGCAGCCTATGCGGAAATAATAAAAATGGATGTTTTGCCTACAATCGAGGCTCTAACTGAACACGTTTCAAAAGGGTTTTTTCAAGTCGATTGTGTACCATTCCACTGTTCGAAATCGGAAAGAAATGCGTGGATATTTTCTAACGTGTCTAACATGGTTTTTTTGTTTCAAGTTTTCCAAACATTTTATCATTAAGTAACTATTTTGCTTGGCGTAGGTTAAGGAACTTAAAGATATTTTAGGTATAAAGTCCCTTTCTTGGCCGGGAAATGAGCCAGACCTCAACCCTATTGGGAACGTTTGATCCATTATTAAGTGAAAAATACGCCCTTATAAGCCCAATAATATTGTAAAAGTCAAAGAGATCATTGAATTAACAAGGTATAGTGATATTTCTCCGAAATTATTAAGAAAATTATACGAAAGCATGCTTAATTGACAATAGAGCAGTGTAAAGGCAAGGGGCGGCCATACCCACTATTAAACAAAAAACTAATTTTTATAATTAAAAAAAAAACTGAAAAAAGGAGAAATGTGTTTTTTCTGCTTTTTACAATCGTGTTTTATCATACGAAAAAAAGACTTCGTAGAAAATACTGTTTTTGTCATGAAATAAAATCTTTTAAATAATAATGTTATTTGCAGAACTGACAAGTCTCTTTAGTCACATCAACAATATATGGTTTTAACATATTATTAACATTAAAGTGAAATTTGTTATTACTATTATAATATAAAATAAAATCGGCATGTGTAGTTCCTGGACACCCATCGTGACCTCTTTGCTGGCCTTTTTGAAAAAGTCCAGCTCCAAAGTGAGCTCACCTTTACATTCTAGCAGCGAGCTGGCCCTGGGATATATAGCACAGCGGTCTTTTAGATTTTATTCTACATGAAACTCAAGCCGTCGGATAATATAAGGAGGTGACGAAACAGCAGAATTGGAGTAGTTGGTGTGATGACCCTAGACACTATCGTATGAATTTTACTTTTGATCTTTAAGATATTTGAGCAGCAGCCGTCATATCCGGATCCGAAACGCAAAGCACCAATACGCTAGAGCAAAGCCTTAAGCGAACAGTCGTGCTGCGGGAGATTTGGTACTAGGCTCATTGGCAGCCCACATTCGGTATTAAGACGAACACAAAGCCTGCAGAAGAGCAGAAACTATTCAATCCCGGCACCACAGGATCCAAGCTTTTTAACTCATTTTTATACCCTGTACCCGTAGGGTAAAAAGAGAGAAATCGATCTAGACATGTCCGTCCGTCCGTCTGTCCGCCCGTCTGGATGAACGCAAGGATCTCAGAAACTATAAAAGCTAGAATAACTAAAGTTGGCATCCAGATCCTCCTAGGTCCGAGAAAGGACGAGTTTATTTTATTTTTTTTTTAATTTTCCGTTACATACATTTTTTGATTGTTTATTTTCTATTTTTTCTTCTATAAATGTTATTCTATTTTCTCTTGAAAAAGAAGATTTTAACCAGCCCCCTTTCCCCGTTACAGAGTTTCGTCAATAGCGTCCACATATATAATTATCTACTGTTGTTTAAAATCCTATTCGGTCAATTCTAAGAAAAGTTATTAGCGAACCAAGTTCTCGCCAGTACAACCGCACCAAACTGCAGCAACAAGTTCGCTCTTCTTCTTACTCTTTTTGCTGCTATGGGCGCATATAACTCAGTGACGGAAGTTTACCTGTGTACAGGGTATTACACTGTCGGGCTTGCTCGACTGTAGCGTTCTCTCTTGTTTATACTCTCTACCTGTAGGTACAATGCAAAATGTAACAGGCAGAATGAGGTGTTGCAGATCCCACAAAGTATGTATATTCTTGATCAGCGTTACAAGACGATTCGATATAGCCCATGTCTGTCTGTCCGTCCATATGAACACCTGGGTCACAGAGACTATAACACCAGGAGGGTGATTGTTTGATGCACCCTCAACTCCCACAGGTATTACAGATTTTCTATAACGCCATTGCTATAAACACCTAGACCTCGAATACTTTAATCTAATCCTAACCTAATCTGGGTACGCAGCACAAGTGCATTTCAAAATTCTCCTCCCTGCA